GAGAACGTAGATCTCCACAGGGTTCGAAGATCGAAGAAGAGTCATCTTCTTCTTCCTCTTTTGTGTCGTCTCCGTGTTCGCCTCCGGAGACCACCTCGCTTTCGGACATTAGCATAAATAAGCGATCGGTTTTACGTAACCGCGGCGGTTCTCTTTCTAAACTTTTGCACGGGCTTTCTTCGGCTGCTCCTCGGCGAGAGATCGGTAACGATTTTCGATGCTACACGCAGTGCGGAATTTAAAAAGGTACTCTGCAATTAGCACCGACAAGGTCGCACTGACGCAAGCTCCTTCGTTCCTCCCTGCGAACATAATTTTTCATCTGAATGCCGTTGAATATATTTGCAAGATTTAAACGTTACGCCGATTCCGCAAAACACGATGTTTCGATCCTGGCGCGAATCTTGTCGCGTTCCCTACCGTCATCGTGTTACTAAAAGCCGTGATTTCATAATGTTGTACGGTGAAAAAATGATGAAGCGCTAAAAAATACTAGTTCACGGAAGCTGAATTTTTTACAAAGACTGAATAAATGTCAAGTTGCGTTTGATATATGCCATGGCTAATATTTTTATGTCCCGGCATGACGAAATCCCCGATTTGCAACGGTGACTGCAGCATCGTACGGTCATAACCTTAAATAATACGAAAAGATCAATTTTAGCATAAAATTTATAATTGAGATGATGATGATGATGATTATTCATTAGCAGAATATTTAAATTGACTATGTTTTACCGTTTAGGCCAGTAGGTAACGTTAATGTCATCTTAGCACAAGGACGCCGGACTATCGTTTATTTCTTTCGCCATAAAATTGCTTGAAAAGGATGAAGTCAGAGAAGAAGTCTATAAAAATGCACTGGTTAGAATTTTTCGAAAACGAAAGTGAAAAGTTTTTCGGAGATAGTACAGTGAATATTACCGGAAGATGGTAGACAGATGATAACAGTAAAAGATTGCATTTAGATACTTTTCACTCTATTATATGTATGTTTACTGCTTCCTCGTAAATTAATTTAATTTATTTAAATACACATTTATTATATAAATGTGTATTTATTATATTTAATATATAAATGTGTATTTATTATATTTAATATATAAATGTGTATTTAAATAAATAAGTTTTATTATATAAATAAACATTTATTTAAACTACTTCATTTCTACATTCACTAAACCAATTTTTCTTCTAAATGTTCTAACTTCCATCAGTTTTCGTTGTTTTCACTAAAAATGTTATCAAATAATATACAGAGTGTCCCATAAATGTCTCGCTCGGCCGTCTCGCGCCAGCTGATCTCGCCTCTTATTGGTCACTTTTTGTCGTTAATAACTCGTAAACATAACCGCGGATTGCATTTCCGCTAAGGACAAAGTTACTTCAAATGACCTCAGGAACCCCGCATTTCCGAATTGCGAAACATTTTTAGGACATCCTGTATAAGTCTATGCAAAAGCTACACCATTTAAAGTTTTCGATTTTATAAGATTACAAATTATTGTATTCAATAAATGTTCTTTTTAACTCCACGATGTATTATTTTATATATTATATATGTATTGTTTTTTATATATTATATATGTATTATTTTCAACAAAAAATGCAAATTAAGTGCCTTACAATAGAAGTATATGTGTCAGGTTACACCTTGTATAGAATTATTTTTGTTTCGTAGTGTCCTGCGATAAATACAGAGGAATAGGCGTCACCGTTGTGGCCAGTGCAGGCGTGAAAATTAACTACGCACGACGACGCATGCGCAGGACGTCTACCGGGCGAATATTGTAATTCTGAACTAGGATGGCGACGCGACGCAAAGCTGCGTATGGTTTTACAATGTTCACCCAGTAGACGGCCTGCGCATGCGTCGTCGTGCGTAGTTAATTTTCCTGCTTGCACTGGTTGTGGTTATGAAACATAACCGAATTAGCTGCTAATTACAATATCGTTTATTATGCGATGCCGTGAATGGTTTGCGTAATCATTGGATCTTATGATCATAATTAAAAACAAAAAATGTGAACATCGGTGAACGATGAATAATCTTCATGTCACGACATGCTAGACCCAATTTGTAGAAAGCTGTGTTGATACAATGGAGGCACCTTATATGGTTTAACTAATATTCTCATTAAGGAGAATTCCGGTTATATAATATCGGATAAATCTGGGGTACCTTCTAAGTTGAAGATGTCTCTCTGTCGACTGTTTGGCGTCCGGACAATGAATTTTTTATCTCAATAAATAAATAAATATATATATATATATTTATTTATTATATTTATTATTATATAATTATTATATTATATTTATTATTATTATTATTTATTATCAATTACAATAAGTATATTTAGAAGAAATAAATACATTTAAAACAAAATGCAAGTAAACAGTAAAATCTTCATTTTACTTTGAAATATTTCACGAATAAAAAACCATAAAAAAATTGAATTGTTAAATTTATTAAACAGATAAAAAGATTTTCAAGACACGATTTAGATACAATTATTTATTAATAACTTCTACGGAACAACGTATAATTCGTATAACGTGTCCATAAACATCAGTCTGATGATCCCCTGTTCAAACTTATATAGCTACAAGCATACTAATTGATCTATCAGGTCGTACGGAGAACGCGTAATCTTCGATTTTCAAAAGACCATCAAATCGGTAGGTAAAGTTTAAAGATTAGGTAAGAGTTGGTTTAGAAAGAAAACGAACGAATGATCTACGCAAGCTTTCACTATTTTACGGTAAACAACGCATCGCAATGCCTATTAAGCAATTCAATGAGACGTTAAACGAAGTTGATTGGTAGCGTAATTGCAATCGCGAGAGTACCCGCGTTTAGTAAAACGCAGACTGGTATAGCGAGCGCAATTATCATTATTTGCCATTAGGAGCGCGATAAAAAAAATAAAGTGGAAACAAAATTTTCTGTTCGATAATTCCGATCTGTTGCTCTGGATAATTACCTAGCTACAAAAAAAAAGAAGAAGAAATCAGCTGTGTTCCACGACAAGTTCCTTGCCCATTGTTTAATCCCCGTTTGGTATGTCTGGCGAAGATTCGAGGAAGATGCGTCGTGGTGAAACACCTACACTATATTGCCGACGAAAATGGTTTCCACCCTGAAGGAGAGCATCTTCCTCAAAATTAAATGTTTCTGGAACACGCCCGACACCCGACTGATCTTGCGAATAACGTGCCAACCATCGTACCATAATAATCAATTTTAATCCCATTGAAACTGAAGCTCAGATTACTTTAACATCTTCTATCGAAGACACTCGTACATAACATTTATTCACCAGTCTCCTTCCTTATAATAGTGCTGTTGATGTTGAATAAAGACGAAACTTATTAACCCTCTATGGGCAGAATTTTTTTCTTAAATATAAAAAAATTTACGCAACGGAGAATCTATTATTATAAACCTATATATGCTAATTAAAAAGATATTTAACAGTTTGAACAACTTTATTATAATTAACTCAATTTGTAACTTTGAAGTAACAACGGCTTACAATGTTTCCACTTCGGTGCATAAATGCTTAAGCGTGAAGTTCCATAAAACAGTTTGAATTCGACGTTAAACATCGATGTACGTTGCATTTGGAACTGGTTGCCAAATAGTTTTTTGTGGTCCTGAATTTTCCTCGTCCGACGATAATTCGGTACTAAATTCATCGTCGCTGTCAATAATATTTATGCGTCGTCTGGTAAAAGCTACTGGATGATCTTCATCGGACTCAGAATCTAATAAAGAATCTTCGGATCTATTACCGCTGATGCGTCTAATTCTAATTCCTCTTTTATTTTTATATGATTTTGCATCCATATTTTGGGTATTCGATATATAAATTTGAAAATAGAAGAAAGCACAACTATTATCCTAAATACACTCGAATCTCTATCACGATATCCCAATGTAACCTGAAAGTTACAAAACTGTATCCTATACAAATAGTAACAAAATGATTATTGAAATGCGACTAAATAAATTGTTATCGATATTCGAACTCAGAGCTATTATATACGCTTTCTTTTATTGAGTAAACACCGACAAAAGCACAAATAATCTCAATTGCACAAGATGGTCCCTTTGGTTTCTATCTGCAGACAACTTGCAAGGTATTTATTTTGACATTTCAGGTTGATGGTGCTGCCAACTGTCGTCAATATTGTTATCGGTTATTTCAGAGGCATTATATAATTAAGACGCATACATCATCTAGTGAAAAAAGCTAAAACTATTAGGTAAAATGTGGATATATTAGCTCGTGACTTGAAAGTTACATGGGCCCATAGAAGGTTAAAACGAAAGAGTACCTAATTTTTTAGATATCTCTTTGATGCCTCGTCTATGCCAGTACCCCATTTTCGTACGAGACACACGTAAATTTAGTGATTGGTCCATTCTGATACCTGATGTGTGGTATTATACTGTATATGGTTATATGTACTACAAAATAATTTAACAATCAACTATTAGAGTATTTTCAAAACAACAGTAAACTTTGGTTATAAAATTAATCAATTGGGGAGTTATCCTTCACAATGAGAACAATTATTGAACAGCTATATTGTTCATCTTCTTTTTAAAAAAAACTACAGCTAACTCGGACAGATTTATTCGCGATGTATAAAATAAAGCTCTGGATAATTACCTAGCTACAAAAAAAAAAGAAGAAGAAATCAGCTGTGCTCCACGACAAGTTCCTTGCCCATTGTTTAATCCTCGTTTGGTATGTCTGGCGAAGATTCGAGGAAGATGCGTTCGTGGTGAAACCGCGGGTTTCGCCGTTGGTCACTCTTCCTCGAATTCCTGTCCGACATTCACCGCCTCTTCCTTTGTCGGTCATCGTTCTGCCACCGCCACCTAGCCAATGCCACACGAAGATTTCGACATCGCAGCCGCAGAAATTTTGGCTGTGGCGCCGCGGGAGGGGGCAGAATTCGTATCGAAATCCGTGTATATAATCGCCGTGGACCAGCATCGAATCAGTATCGTGATCTAGCACATCTCAGCTGTCTCATCTCCTTCGAGAACCCGACGAAAAACCGATCAAAAAAAAATCCAACCATGAAGCTGGTGCGTGTCAACATTATTCGTTAAACGCTTCTTTCCGGGTCGCCGACTGTATCCGTGTTCGATATACAACTCGAGCGAGCGAGGACTCTCGGATATCTTCCCCGACTCGATTTCACCCTGGATTCCAATAGCTCCTCTCTGTGATCGCGATACAATTTCCAGTGGTTCTCATGTGATCCGCGTAAACGTTGCCCGGCGGGCGATCGCGGCTCACGACGATCTCTGGCGCGGCGGTTACACTTGTACGACACGATTTTTGTAGAGCTTCACTCCCTGAACAAGAATCCGAAAACCGAATTGCTCCATCACCCTCAGTTTTTTTAAATAAACGAACTTTTGTAAAAACCCAAAGTTTTCGACAAAAATGAGGTATTGCATGAAAAGTACAAACGCTAGAAAGTTCTGATCAGTCTCAAAAGATAGAGAAAAGTTTTCCGGATATAGTGGCATGCAATTTATTAATTGTTTTTGGTCCTAAATAGCAATAAATTAATGTACATCGTTCTACTCAAAATGTATATCGTTCTGACACTTCTATATCAGGCCGTTTCTTCTTCAGAAATGTCTACAGAATCCGATCCTGGGTAGAGTTTTCGTGCTGAACAAAGAACTTTTCGTAAAAATACAAAAATATTGCGGAGAAACTGCGCGCGTCGACGCTTTTTTAAACTTTGACATCAATTCATTGCTATTTAGGACCAAAAACAATTAATAAATTGCATGCCGCTATATTCGAGAAACTCTCTTCTATCTTTTAACACCGATTAAAACTTTCTAACGATTTTACTTTTCATGCGATACCTCATTTTTATCGAAAATTTTGGATTTTTACAAAAGTTTTCTTATTCAGGGAGTGAAGCTCTACAAGAATTTCACAGTGGCTATGGAAACCCAGAAAAAAGTTTGATTTTGTCGGACGGTGTTACCGGCGCGTGCAATTAACGTGCACTTTAACGATCGTTATCTATCATTAAAGACACAACAATACGCGGCGCAATTACGTAGTAAAGCCGCTATCATTGTTCTCCCGTTGAAATGCAAATATGTTGTTAATTTATTTCAAGTAAATCACCGATTACGGATCTCGGTTTACATAACGCACAGATGTCCGTCGCGAAAATTAGCGCCCTCTACGTGGCCGGTCTGAAACACAATGACAATGACGGATCACGCGAGCCTATTACACGAGCGTCTCGGCGTGTTAACGTGTCATGTTATTCCGTATCATTGTAAATCGTAACAATCCTCGGCAATCAGATATCGCACACGCCACGAGGAGATACATCTCGTAAGAGTTCGTGCAGAGATTTGATAACCGCGCACGTAAGAAGATCTCTTTTGGTTACGCGATACACGAAGTTGATGTACTTTAACTATTTGAAAAGAAAGTATTACTTTTTCACAAATAGTAATATTGTACAACTTTATAGCTCTATATTTTGTATTTGCTTCAGAATTTTGCACTAAACTGAAATATAATCAACATTTTTAAGTTAATCATTTTTCATATACATGGACGATGCTTAATTTTGTATATATATTTATTTGTATATATATTGTATTATATTTATATATATATTAAATATTATATATAATATAATATAATATAAATATAATATATATATATATATATATACGCGATACCGGTAATCCTTGTATGTTTTGCGAATTAACATCGGTTTCGCGAGATCCCCGCGACAGCGACACGCGCGCAACGACGAATCCTATTGTACCGGCCAACGACGTGTCATGCAAATTTCACTTTCTTCGCAGTTCCTTGCTGTCGCTCTCTTCGTCGCCGCCGCATACGCTGTCCCTCTCGTGCCCGAGAACGACGTAGTGCTGGTCAAAGAAACACCTTCCGACAACATCGGCCTAGGCGGCTACAATTACGGATACGAATTGTCGAATGGCCAGGCCCACCAGGAAACCGCCGAAGTCATTAACCAAGGAACCGAACACGAGGCCCTCGCTGTCCGCGGAAGCTTCAGCTGGGTCGACCCGCAGACCAACGTCAGATACAACGTGAACTATGTCGCTGACGAAAATGGTTTCCACCCACAGGGTGAACACATTCCCGCTTAAATTGTATACGACCTCGTTTAAATAAATCCTTCACCAAAACATTCGTTCGTTACCGATTTACTCTCGACGCCTGTTTCGTTCGCCGATTTTATTCGGGTGACGCGCGATTTGGAAACGTTTTATTCGTCAGGAGTTGTGTCATACGAATGGATTCGTCTAAAAGCAACAACGTTTCTAGAGCGAGAACTCGTTAACATTCCTGTCCCTTGGTTGACATGTACGAATCAAGCTCGTTTTCTTAAACGTTGTTAATAATTGGACTATCCTGTAAAATCGTACAATATATATTATATTATTATATTCTATATTATATATATATAATAATAATAATAATATATATAATAAATAAAATAAATATATAAACAATAATAAAATAAATGTATATAATAAACTAGAATAATGATGATAATCATAAGTTATACAAATGTTATTTTTAATACACTACAAGATTACGGTATACTATAATACTAAAAAAACTTATTCGATGCTGGATTCTTCACTATTTTTTTCAGTTGTACTGATCTTTGATGCTTGAAAAAGTGCACGATGAAATTGTAAGAATAAAACCTAGCCGGGTAAGATGGCCAAATCTGTTCTTCGTGGTATTTCAACGCGTGTTACACCGTTCGTTAGTTGACAAAGAAAAACTGTAAAATATCAACCTTATAGCTTCACCAGAAGGGTAGTTACAGGATTTAGATTGAGATCCCATAGATAGATCCAATAGACCAAACAATTTGGTCTATTTTATGTAACAGGTCGCATGTTACAGAATTTTTGGAGATTTTAATTTTTTTGGAAATTAAACTTTTTTTTTGTCCATTCAATCTGTATATTATGTAACGTTAAACATTTCTACGCTCAAATAAGTAACATCTGTAATGTAAAAAATTAAGTTCGAAATAAATCAAAACGGAAATTGTGTTGTGCCTGACATACAGTCGGTCACGAAAATATTCGGACACCACTATAATTTTAACTATTATAATCCGTACTTTAGACAAATATTTAAAAAGAACAAAAAGAGGCTTCACGTATGTTACTATGCAGTATGTAGTTAACAAAAACATAAAAAATATTTATTTACGATACGTGGTTATATAAATAATTAATGAAATATAGAAAGAAGGCCTATTTTAATGTCACGAAAATATTCGGACACCATGAAAATTAAATTTATTTTATTGTACATAAATCTTACTTTTATAAATTAATATTTCGTTGCATATCCCATCTGCTTTATGACGTGTCGCAATCGTGTTGGCATATTACAAATTATTTTTTTAAAATAAACTTGCCCAATACGTAGCCATTCTTCTTGCAGACGTCGTTTGAGTTCTTCTTTTGTGTTTATGGGTGTTGTCCGAATTCTACGATCCAATTCATCCCATAAATTTTCAATGGGATTCAAATCTGGTGATTGCGGTGGTGGGTGGAGGACATTTTTACAAGTATATAAAAGGAATTCTTGCACAATTCGCGATTTGTGCTTTGGGTCGTTATCCTGATAAAACTTTATCCCATTTTTAAGACCC